TGAAAAATTATGATCATATACATCCTCTACAGTAATGATTTTTTTGATAGGCAGAGAGAGACAGTGAGAGAGAGAGAGACAGAAAGAAAGGTCTTCTTTCCGTTGGTTCACCCCACAAATGGCCACACTGATCTGAAGCCAGGAGCCGGGTGCTTCCTCCTGGTCCTCCACGCGGGTACAGGGCCCAAGCACCTGGGCCATCCTCCACTGCCTTCCCAGGCCACGGCAGAGAGCTGGACTGGAAGAGGAGCAGCCGGGACAGAATCCGGCGACCCGACTGGGACTAGAACCCACGGTGCCAGCGCCGCAGGTGGAGGATTAGCCTAGTGAGCCGCAGCACTGGCTTGCAATAATGAACTTTAAGGTCTGAAGGTTAGAAGCCAATGGGAAAGGAGAATATGTTTTTTGTTAAGTGAAACAATTCTCAGGATAATGGTAGGTTTTTTAAATAGAATTTTATCTGTTTACAAATTTACAAGGGTTCACACTATTTTTCCATGAGAAATCACCAGACTAAACCACATGGAAGTATTAATAAAAAATGGCAAGAATAAAAAGTCTGATTACATAGAAAATCAAATAAAGAAAATTAACTTAATCAGAAAGATCAAAGTATTTTTAAATATAGATAGGTCAGTAAACAGACAAGATAGACATTGATATACTTTTTAAATTTTTTTTAAAGATTTTATTTATTTATTTGAGCGATAGAGTTACAAACAGTGAGAGAGACAGACAGACAGAAAGGTCTTCCTTCCATTGATTCACTCCCCAAATGGCCACAAAGGCTGGAGCTGCGCCGATCAGAGCCAGGAACCAGGTGCTTCTTCTTGGTCTCCCCTGCAGGTTCAGGGGCCTAAGGACTTGGGCCATCCTCCACTGCCTTCCCAGGCCACAGCAGAGAACTGAATTGGAAGAGGGGCAGCAGGGACTAGAACCGGTGCCTATATGGGATGCCAGCACCACAGGCTGACCCACTGTGCCATGGTGCTGGCCCCAAGACTGATGTACTTTTGGAGTAAGCATATTATTCATTTTATACAAAAAAGTAAGTGACTTACTCAGGGTCTTATGAAAGTAGAATCAGTATTTATTTAACTCCCTTTTCATTGAAGTATTGAGCATGACATCTGCATTTCAATAATAAGGGGATATTACTGCAAATACAAATTTTTGGTCCACACCCTAAATTTGCTTTAAGATGTTTTCTGAAGCTAAATCATAGAAAACTGCTGTTTGATTATGTACTCATAATACACCCTTGCCTACAAAATGTTAGGATTCACTGCCATGGGGCCAGCACCATGGCTCACTTGGTTAATCCTCAGCCTGCGGTGCTGGCATCCCACTTGGGCATCTGGTTCTAGTCTCAGTTGCTCCTCTTCCAGTCCAGCTCTCTGCTGTGGCCGGAGAGGGCAGTGGAGGATGGCCTAAGTGCTTGGGCCCCTGCACCTGCATGGGAGACCAGGAGAAACACCTGGCTCCTGGCTTCGGATCGGCGCAGCGCCTGCTGTAGCAGCCATTTGGGGAGTGAACCAACAGAAGGAAGACCTTTCTCTCTGTCTCTCTCTCCCTCACTGTCTATAACTCTACCTGTGAAATAAAAAAATTAAAGAGAAAGATTCACTGCCATATGTATGTATATTACTGAGTCTGTAACCAATATTTCCTTAGTCCTTTTCTTTTACGTAAACTCTAGTTTGTTATCAAAATTTGTCCTGACCCAAGTAGAAAAGCAGTGAGTTATGAGTGTCTTAAAAAAGATGCAATCATTGCCCAGCATTGGCAGGTGTTTCAGCACATTGAAGCCAATGTGATACTTCTCTCATCAGTGGTGTGCCTCTTGTGTAGTAGAAGATATTCCAGACTGGCACCCAGTCCTCATATTGGCAACTTAATGGGTGTTATATGCTCTTCCTGTCTGAATGTATATTAATATTGACAAGAGTAACTGATGATTGAAAATAATAATTATAGTAACAATCATCCAGTTGGCCATGAGGCCAGAATTCTTTGATACACACTCCATAGCAACAGCCATTTTTTGGAATCTAATGGTCTTGTTGTTTTTTTTTTCCACTGTGCTTATAAATAATAATGAATTGTAATTTTTTCTCCTTAAAAATAAAAGGTATTTTACGTATGACAAATACCTGAGAGTGTCTGACAAAAGCAGAAAGAAGGAATGAGTGCTTTTTCACAAGAAAGGGGAAGTGAAGGTTTTTATTAAATAATTTTCCTTCTTATTTATTATTTTTGTGATAGCAACATCGAATATAAAGTCTGTCTTCTTAGCAAATGTATAACTATACAGCACAACATTTTTGATTATAGGCCATATGTTAGTCAAAGGGTATAACATTTCATATACACAAGATAAAAAAGTCTTAAAGATGTAGATATTTTTCACAGTGTATAATGGATACTATATACACATTGCACAGCAAATCTTTGTTGTCCCACTCCTCATCAAGAAACCAGTGTTCTACTTTCTGCTTCTATGAAGTTGGCTATTTTTAATACTTCATATAAACAGGACCAAGTTGCCAAGTTAAGAGTCCCAAAGATGCCATGCAATTTTTATTTTTAACCTTTAATTCTCTTTTCTCTGTAGTTCTTTCCCCTTCATTGAGTTTATTCTGAGAAAATCCCATCTAGATTTGGAACAAAATATCCATTCCTACTTATTCAATATTTTCATTACCATAGAGGAAAGTGGGTACTTTCTCCACAGTTTCAACAAATATCGATGGGGTTTGTCCTGGCATGCATCAGATTCATTATGTGATAAATAATTATGACTATGGAGATGTAATTCTTTTGGTCAGATCTGGATCAACGTCAGCATCAAGCAGATGATAAAGAGGTTCAATCTCGACAAAGCCAAATAACCAGCATACAGAGAGCAGATCCTCAAAGTAATGCAGTATGTGCAAGAAACTGATGTCAGTCATGAACAGTTCATTATACAGAGAATGAAGCAAGGGACAGAAAGGAGAAGTAATCTACTTCAGGTCACAACGTGAGGTTACTAATAGAATCTGGCTGAATTCATCATATTCCAAACATATAATTTTTATTATTCCAACATTGTGTTGGTAAATATGTTTAAAAACTAAATGTTAAAACAAAACACTATCAGTTGTTTAGCAAATGTGATAGTATATGATCAAGGCTTTTAAAACTAAAAGTAACTTAATGTGAAAGAAATGACTGGGGTCTATGTGCAATCTAAATACTACATGGTCAGGATAAAATGGATCTCATCAATTTAATGAAATTATCATTTCCTGTCTTAAAAAGAAGTTGAAAATATTTATAAGAATTGTGTGCATATTATTTCTGTATATTTACCCGTAATTTATAATTATTTTATAATCATAATCATTGATCCTACTTGTAATCTACTCCAAATGTCCTTTATCTCTCCAATTTATATGCACATCTCATTTTGTCTAAAAAGATTAAATATGTCCACACTATTGAGTTAAAATGTAAATTATGTTTTTGTAAAGAGATATTTTAAATTTTAATGATTGAAATCTAATATAGATGAGTTCCAAGAAACCTATAGAGATGACTTTGTAAAACCTTCTAGAATGACTTTAATATCCTATGTATATTGTGCAGAAATCTGAAATAAAATAAAAATTTTAGCAAGTAGTACATAAGTATTTCAATACACTCATGGAAATAAGGAATTTAAGATAATCACATTTTCATGAATTTTTGAGGACTCTTCATAAATTAGATAGCAATAATATAAAAATGCTAGTATCTCAAGAGTTTTGATAATAATAAGGATTTTTTTTCATTTAAAAATTACTGAAGTGGTTGAAAATATATTTATATAATATAAAACACAACAAAGATATACAAAGATCATAAATAGACAATTTACACCAAATACAACAATTAAATGCAAATATATGAAGCACTGCTCATTCACATGAAGAATGAAAATATTAAAAATACTTTAAAACTGAGGTACTGTTTCACATACATTGCTTTAGAAAACTTGAAAATAACAATGGATAACTGAGATTAAAGTAAAACAGGTATTCACACAGGGCATAAGGCATTGTAAAATACTTTAATCATTTAGACATCAGCACAACAGCATATCTAAATACACGTATTTTTATTGTTTTCTCTTATTTGTACTTACTATTAAGCTTCCAAGCTAAATAACTGAAAAGGAGTACAATATTCAGAATAACATGTATGCCAGACATTTTTTTCATTCTTTGTTCCTCAGTCTATTATTAGAACGTGTATCAAGATTTTTTTTAATTTAAACTAATTCCAAATATTTTGTCTGAGTCTACTTATGCAGTCCACTATGGAAAATCCCCTCTATTCTAACTCACATTCTGCTTGGGCACCTTACCCAAGCTTATCCTGTAGTCTCATTGATAATATTTAGAATCAATATGTGACTCTAAGAGATGACAGTCAAACTTCATGACTTAATATTGAAATGCTGAGAATCGGTCTTTCTCTTCTCTACAGTTATGAGCTATATATAAATGCATTCTAAGCTAGAACTCCTCACACTCATCTTTTCCTCAAAAAGGAAACGATTGCATACAATAAGCAAAGTCTACAGGAAAGTAGAATCAAGAATGGAAAGGATAATGAAAATGCTTGACAATAATTGAGCTCCTAGATGCAGTAATACCTGGAATTGGAAGTTATGGGTATTTTCTGTTATCTTTCTTAGAACCATTCATTGCCATACCACCCTTTGCCCTTCTGCTTCATCAGGCTGATTTGTATAAACCCTATCAATGGAATCTGTCTGCACATGGCTTTTAATTGGATTCAGCCAGTAAAACAGCAGTGTAAGGAATGTGAGAAGCATATCATCAAATTAATTTTTCTCATTAGCTCTTTTGCTTCTTTCTATTTACTTATTAATTCATTAATTAATCTGTATATTTGAGAGGCAGAGTTACAGAAAGAGGGAAAGGGAGAGGGAAACAGAATCTTCCACTTACTTTTTCTTTCTCTAAATGCCCCAACAACTGTGGCTAGGCCAAGCCAAAACCAGGAGCCAAGGACTCTATCTTAGTCTCTCACAGGCTGGCAGAAACCCTGGTACTGCGGCCATCATCCTCTGCTTCCTAGGAGCATTTGTAGGAAACTGGATCAGAAACACAAAGTAGTTGAAGCAGATAAGACCCTTAGATATGTCCCAAGCAAAGACTTAACATGCTGTGCCTTAACACCCGCCACAATTCTTTCCCTTGTATATCACTTAAAGGTTGTTTATGAAAGTTCATAGTTGTGGTCAAGTGTGAGTCATAATTTAGTAATTTGAATGGGATATGGTGTTTGGTTCTTGCTATGTTCCTTGTTAGTGTCACTAAATCCTACTACAGTTTTAAATTTCCTTAATTAAACTATCCTCAAGCTATCAAATTTGAAGATACTCTCATTTTGCTCCAAGTTTTGTGACATATAAAGCAAGTGAATCTCTACATTTCTGAGTTACTAGACTGTGAGTTCACTAATTGCCATAAGCTAGCTTTAATTGGAATCTGTTATTTGCAATTAGTTATTTTTCATGTTTAGCTAATTAAAACAATTTTAAATAACAAAATTTTGGAAAAAATATTATGTAATAACAGAATAATTAAGTAATCAGATAGCTAATATTTATAGATTACTCCTGTGTGAGAAGCACTGACATAGATTAGTGTATTAGTATTACTCATTCCACCCATTAGATTAGGATTTGGGGTTTTATTATGGACAAATTGAAAATTTAGTAGCCAGTTTTAAGCAAAGAAAATGCAGGATCTAGAGTATAGAAATGTCACAATCTGCATTGTAAAGAATGAGTTATTGATGGGGTCAGAAGGAAAATTAGAGCATTATCAATACTGGCAGTTCAATAAACTGGGCATGAGAGTTAATATTCCATTATACTAGAACTTTAATCATAAAAATCATGATAAATAAGTAAATCTAAGAAACTATTTTAAACTTGGAAGTAGATTGTTTAAGAAAAGGTTGTGAGCCGGCGCCGTGGCTCAATAGGCTAATCCTCCACCTTGCGGCGCCGGCAAACCGGGTTCTAGTCCCGGTTGGGGCGCCGGATTCTGTCCCGGTTGCCCCTCTTCCAGGCCAGCTCTCTGCTATGGCCAGGGAGTGCAGTGGAGGATGGCCCAGGTGCTTGGGCCCTGCACCCCATGGGAGACCAGGAAAAGCACCTGGCTCCTGGCTCCTGCCAGGATCAGCGCGGTGCGCCGGCTGCAGCGGCGGCCATTGGAGGGTGAACCAGCGGCAAAGGAAGACCTTTCTCTCTCTGTCTCTCTTTCTCACTGTCCACTCTGCCTGTCAAAAAAAAAAAAAAAAAAAAAAAAAAAAAAAAAAAAAAAAAAAAGAAAAGGTTGTGCTAAATGGCCTATGCTGAAAAGTTGAAATGGCTGACTGTATAATGATAGTGCAAGAAAATGGGCTTACAGACTCTAAAAGTGGGTGAGATTAGAGGAATGTATCATTTGAGACTGAAAGGCAAACCATAAGATTATAATCTGTATATAAATCTATGGGATACACTTCACAACATGGCTATTAGGGATTCACTGGTTAAAGGATGCATAATCAGTGATGGCATGTCAACAGGCCAGAGCCAATAATTGGAAAAGCTGTAATGATATTTTGCTTGATATGGGCGACGTGCTCAAAGCAAAGAAGAGAATCTTATACATCAATAATGATGATGAGGATGATGATGAGGATGATAATGATAGATTATACATAGATACATAGATGATAGATACTTATGAGAGAGATAATAAGAGAGATTTGGGATGGATATTTGGCATAGTGGTTAAGGCCACTCTTAAAATAATTTTGTGATAATCAAAAAGGCTCCTGTAGAACACTACAAGAAAGGCTTGGGTAGGCCAATAAAATTCATCAATATATGAATAATCTTGTATTTCAGAATAAGGAAGAAAATGGAATTACTGGGGTTTATTTGCCAAAAGGATGTTATCTCTTGATTGTTGCTTCTAGGGAATTCCATTATCTGAACTCCAGTTTATAGACAAATAATTAAAATGAGTATCATTTCAAAGTTCTATTATTCTTAATAACAGGTAACCTGAGCAAGAAAATTGTGTATTTCTGTCCATATTTTGGTGTTTTATTTCCAGATAATTGAGAGCTAGAACACTTTACACTGAATACAAAAGAAAGAACCAATTGGATAAACTAAATATATATACAATAGAAGTATATAATAGTAGTAGCTGCTGAGGCTTAAAATGATTCTCATTCTTCTTTTCTTATAGTCCATTCTAAAACATTTCAAAGGAAATATAAGGTACTTCAGAAGCCTCTTGGAAACAGAGAAGTAACACATAAATGTATGTTAGTGCAGTTTTTTTAAATCTATGGATTTTTTCATAATACATATTTACTATGATCAGTTTGATGGTAAATTATTTGGAAAACAGGTTTATTTTAAATATCCTATTAAAACAATATTATAGTGCTATGAATAACAACTTTCATAAAAATATTAAAATGACATTTTTGGACACTGATGTTTGCATATCATATGCATTTTTTTTTCATTTTGGCTGCTATTAGAAATGTACCTTCAGGAAGAGGTATTTTAGGATGAAAGCATAGCGTTGTATAACAGGGCCTTAACATATTATGCTCTCTGTACCAAAAGCAAAAAAATTTCAAGTAATTTTCTCTCTTGTGTTTTAGAAACAAATTTTGATATGATACCACTCTTCATGAAAACTATCATATGTGCAACATTGGATAAATGACACATTATATTAAAAATATATCATGGGGCTGGCACTGTGGCATGACAGGTAAAGTCTCTGCCTGCAGTGCCGGCATCCCATATGGGTGCTGGTTTGAATCCCAGCAATTCTACTTCTGATCCAGCTCTCTACTAGGGTCTGGGAAAGCAGTGGAAAATGGCTCAAGTTTTTGGGCCCCTGCACCCATGTAGGAGACCTGGAAGAAACTCTAGGCTGCTGGCTTTGGATTGGCCCAGCTCCAATCATTGCGGCCATTTGGGAAGTAAACCAGCAGATGGAAGCATTCTCTCTCTCTCTCTCTCTCTCTCTCTCTCTCTCTCTCTATCTCTGCCTCTGTATCTCTCCATGCCTTTCAAAGAAATAATTAAAAAAAACATTGTTCTCACCAGAGACCATTATTTAACATAGCTGCTTAAAACAGATGAGCACCAGCACCATTATTTGTTTTCTTTACAACCCTTACAAACAAAGTGAAATAATTCTTATTGCAATAACTCTTTCCAGTTTATGGAGTTATGAAACTAAATTTTATACATATGAAGCTTGTGTGTGCCTGTCGGTGTGTTCATGATGATTTTTGCAGCACAGAAGTGATTTTATCTTCACTGACTTTTGTAGATGTGACAGTTTAAAAATCTTGATTTTGAAAACATTATAGATTTTCAAAATTATTTTAGCATTTAATAAATGGGATCATTACCATTTAATGAAAAATCAATTGCTTTTTTAAAAATTACATTTATTTATTTATTTGAAAGACAAAGTTACAGAGAGAGAGGGAGAGACAAATTGAGACAGAGAGAGAGAGAGAGAGAGAGAGAGAGAATCTTCCATCTCCTGATTTACTTCCCAAAAGGCTGCAATGGCCAAGTCTGGACCAGGCTGAAGCCAGGAGCCAGGAGCTTTCTTCAGGTCTCCCACTTGGGTTCAGGAGCTCAAGGACCTAGGCCATCCTCCGCTGCTTTCCCAGGCATATTAGTAGGGACCTGATTCAGAAATGGAGCAGCCAGGACTCAAACAGGTGCTCATATGGGTGCTGGCACTGCACACCGAGGCTTAACCTGCTGTACCAGCTCCAAATTAATTAATTGCTTTTAAATCATCTTGTCTTTTTTTTCATTTTTTTAACTTTTATTTAATGAATATAAATTTCCAAAGTGCAGAATATTGATTACAATGGCTTCCCCCCCATATCATCTCTCCCACCCGCATCCCTCCCCTTTCCCACTCCCTCTCCCCTTCCATTCACATGAGGATTCATTTTCGATTCTCTTTATATACAGAAGATCAGTTTAGCATACATTAAGTAAAGATTTCAACAGTTTGCTCCCACACAGAAACATAAAGTGAAAAATAATAGATGATTTTTTAAATGATGAGAAATCAGATCAGACCTATTGTCATGTTTAATCCCAGTGAGAGTCAAGTTGGGAATTGCTAATTTCTTCTTCTTTTTTTTTTTTTTTTTTTTACAGAAGATCAGTTTAGTATACATTAAGTAAAGATTTCAACAGTTTGCACCCCCATAGAAACACAAAGTGAAATATATTGTTTGAGTACTCGTTATAGCATTAAGTCTCAATGCACAGCACATTAAGGACAGAGATCCTACATGAGGAGTAAGTGCACAGTGACTCCTGTTGTTGACTTTACCAATTGACACTCCTGTTTATGGCATCAGTAATCTCCCTATGCACCAGTCATGAGTTTCCAAGGCTATGGAAGCCCCTTGAGTTTTCCGACTCTTATGTTGTTTAGACAAGGTCATAGTCAAAGTGGAGGTTCTCTCCTCCCTTCAGAGAAAGGTACCTCCTTCTTTGAAGACCTGTTCTTTCCACTGGGATCTCACTCACAGAGATCTTTCATTTAGGGTTTGTTTGTTTGTTTGTTTGTTTTTTGCCAGAGTGTCTTGGCTTTCCATGCCTGAAATACTCTCATGGGCTTTTCAGCCAGATCTGAATGCCTTATGGCTGATTCTGAGGCCAGAGTGCTGTTTAGGACATCCGCCATTCTATGAGTCTGCTGAGTATCTCGCTTCCCATGTTGGATCACTCTCCCCTTTATTTATTCTATCAGTTAGTATTAGCAGGTACTAGACTTGTTTATGTGCTTCCTTTGACTCTTAGTCCTTTCATTATGATCAATTGTGAACTGAAATTGATCACTTGGACTGGTGAGATGGCATTGGTACATGCCACCTTGATGGGATTGAATTGGAGTCCCCTGGTATGTTTCTAACTCTACCATTTGGGGCAAGTCAGCTTGAGCATGTCCCAAATTGTACATCTCTTCCCTCTCTTATTCCTACTCTTATGTTTAACAGGGATCACATTTCAGTTAATTTTCAACACTTAAGAATAACTGTGTATTAATTACAGAATTAAACCAGTCATATTAAGTAGAACAGACAAAAAATCTACTAAGAGGGATAATGTATTAAGTTGTTCATGAAGAGTCAGGGCTAAATCATCTTGTCTTATAATTGACTTTTAAACTAAATTTTCTATCACGTCAATAGAGGAATATGAATTCTATTAGTCCACATTTGTAGTTTATTATTCGTTCAATCTTTAAACTTTTCATAATAGTAGAATTTCTCTTTAGAATTTCAGCAATTTTTAAATAAGTTCTCAGACTAGCAGACCATGTTGAGCTTTTAGAGACCTGTAACAGTGACTTCTCACTGTTTATTTATGAGATGTATCTTGCAATATCCTCATACACAAAAACAAAGCCAAAATATAAAAAGCTATACATAGTTACACCATCGCTTTCAGTAAAAC